GGTTGTTCCATATAAATTTTCTCATCTAAACCACTATTTAGAAATGCTGTTTTCACATCCATTCTCAAGATTTTGCAATGCTGCAATTGAAATTAACATTCTTATTGATGTTATTCTCATAACTGGTGAATATGTGTCAAAGTAATCCAATCATTCTCTTTGCTTATAATCTTTGACAACAAGCCTTGCCTTGTATTTGTCAACTGATCCATTAGCTTTCATTTTCTTCTTAAAAATCCATTTATAATCCAATGGATTATTTCCAGGAGGAAGATCCACAAGTTCTCAAGTGTGATTCTGCATGATGAATTTAGCTTCGGCATTAATAGTCTATTTCAATAAAGGAGCTTCAGGAGAAGTTATGGCTTTTTTGTAAGTTTGAGGCTCATTTTCTAACAAATAAGTTAGAAACTTAGGACCAAAGGATTTCGTTGTCTTAGCTCTCTTATTGCGCTTGGGTTCACGTTCAGGTTTCTAGTTATGCAGTCTCTTAGTCTATATTTTCTTGATGACTTTCTTGGCTATCGCTATTAACAATATCATAGGTTCTTTTAAGTGTATTTCTTTCTTGTGCATCCTTATAAGTAAATACATTTTCAAATAAAGATGCATTCCTTGATTCAAAAATCATATTCACATGTACATTTAATATATCAAATTTGTGTACAAGGAAACGATATGCACTATTGTTAATGGCATAACCGATAAAGATACAGTCAATAGTTTTGGATCCTATCTTAACCTTTTTAGGGTTTGGAACCACAACTTTAGCTAGACACTGCCACACTTTCAAGTATTTATAGGAAGGCTTGTGACCTTTCCTTAACTCATAAGGCGTATTGTCTAACTTTTTATGAGGCAATTTGTTGACAATGTAATTAGCAGAAAGTAAAGCTTCCTCCCACAAATTATGGGGTGCTCTAGAACTTACTAGCAAAGCATTCATCATTTCTTTTAAAGTACGATTTTTGAGTTCAACAATACCATTTTGCTGAGGTGAGTATGGAGTAGTAGTTTGATGAATAATTCTGTGTTGGGAACAAAATTCACCAAAAGGTGATTCCTATTCTCCACCTCTATCACTTCTTAATATATATATCTTTATTTTATCAACTTCACTTTTATAATGTTTGAACATTTCTATGGCCTCATCTTTGCTTCTTAGCAAATATACTTGACAGTATCTTGTACAATCATCAATAAAAGTAACAAAATGCTTTTTATCACCTCTAGTTTGTACAAATTTCAAGTCACAACTATCATTGTGAATTATTTCTAAAGGTTCTGTACTTCTTTCTATAGACTGGAATGATGATCTAGTTAGTTTTGCTTCAACCCAGGTTTCACATTTATTATGGAAATCAATATGAAACTTAGGTATTAGTTCCATGTTAATTAATTGACACAATTTATCATAATTAACATGCCCTAATCTTCCATGCCATAAATCATATGACTCAAGCATATAAGTAGAGCTTGTTATAAATATATGGGAATGTGGATGACCACCATAATAACCATTATCTCCACCTTTTGATATTTGTAACATATGCTCTTATTGATATAATTAGTAGCTATAATTTGTGAGTTAAATACCTATAATTGTAAGCCTATAAATAGATGCTTATCAAAGATGAATGAAAAGAAGTTTTAGAGACTAATTTCTATTGTCTTCCTCTACTCCTCATTTCTCTCTACAATTTCCTTTAGTTATATAACACGTTATGAGCACAAATTCTCTTCCAAAATCCAGTTGGGTGCCCCGATCAAATCCCTCTACTTTACTCATCCTCTTCTTGAGGTTTTCTGGGCAATTTTGTTTTCATGATTTTCCTGTGTAAATACATACTCCCCTTGGTAGCATATTATGTTTACAGAAAACAAACCAACCAGAGAAGAAAATTAAAGATCATTCCAAGAGACACAAATCCAAAACAAGGACCGGTCTACCATGCTAGTCTTCACCAAAAGAAACCAGCTGAGGTGTTGAACTTCTTCGCATTCAGAGTGGGATATGAACACCCACCGTGAACCAAATGGTGCTCTTTGCACCCTTGGTGGTTGATTTTCATGCATAGCCAAAGTTTGAATACTTTTTGTGTGGACATTTTGAAGAAGTTGGAGGAACTAAGCAATTTCCTCAGTACTTTGCTTTTAGCTTGGAGAAGAGGATAAAGCCAAGGCACATGGAGGTTGTGTAGAGTTGAGTGGAAGTGCCTTGCCATTGATACTCAAGAGCACTGACGATGAGTTTAGGGAGTTGTTGACAGAATTTGAGGGTGGATGAGATAGTATTGCCAAATTTTCCTCTTTTTCCTCTTCTTACAAATCTTCTGACTCTCTACTCTAATTTTAATTTCAAAAGGTCATCTTCGATAAGATGTCTTAGATTGTGTATTTGCATCATGCCCTGTAGAAACTTGAAAGGTATAGCAGCAGTTTGGATAATTTTAACAGCTGTTTATGGAATTTTGTTGGCCAAAGGTCCAAGTGGCAACTCGCTTTGCTATTTTACTTGAGCTTTGGCTCAAGAGATGAAAAGCCCTCCGTCCTCAACTAACTTTGCAAATATACGAAAAACACAAAAATAACAACAACAAAGCACCAACATGTCGATACAAAAGTCTTCATCAACAAGCACCAACTCTTATATACTCTTCACTTCCAGGACCAAATCCATTTCCTGGCATGGTCACTATGTCTGTCGTTTCAGAAATTTCATTGAATATATATGTTTCCTTATTTTAGGTTGGATAGGCCGATTGAAAGAAATTTTGGGTCCTTCTTTAATTGAGTGTTCGGGCATGCCACCACCAATTCACGAATTTGACTTGAAGGGAATGTGAGTGGATGATGCATCCAAGATATATCTTTAATCAAATAATTGTTCCATCAAGCAAAGAACCTGCTCATCCTAAGTAGCTTTATGTGACAAACCAAGTGATGTGAAGTGGATAGAAATGAAGATTGACTAAGAAATATGGATGAAATAAAGAACAAGTGCGTAAATTGTAAAGGTTCTTGAATTTAAATGGAATTGAAAGGATGAGTATGATAATTAAATTGTGTAAAGTAAATGATGGAAATTAAAGTGTATAAAATAAATAATTTAAAAACAAGTGCGTAATGTAAATTGAGTAAAATAAATGACAATTTACGTTTTTCCTTAGGATAGAAATTGAAAATTATGTAAAATGACAAGTTGTGTGTTGTGTTGGGCCTCATTTCTCTCTTTTATAGCTTGGTATTTATAAGGGCTACAACACGTTTCAATTTGGCTGATCATCAATTGGCCTTGAAATTGGTCATAATTTCCTCCTTGATAAATAACATATTTTGGTTGATTGCATCAATTGCCCTGATTTATGCTTGTGGTTTAATTTGAATAATTATTTTGATTTGATCTGCATTCCATTCTGAGCTCTACTACATTAACTTTGGTTGACCATCGGATTGACATAATTCTCTTGGATTGTAACATGTGTGAAAATTCTTCTACGGATGCTCTCTCCTCATTTACGTCTCGGCTAAATTTATGCATTCAACCGCTTTTAGTCATTCGACCACTTTTGTGCTCTTCGCATTTAGGTGCTTGGCCACTTTTACATGCTTGTCCATATTTACATGTTCGGCCGCATTTACATGCTCAACCGCTTTTATTAATTTTGGGCCTCTCGTCATTCTTGTTGATTTGGGGTCGCTCAAGCTCAAATGGTTGACCTCCTTGTTGGATCTTGGGTCTAACCTGATAGATTTCAACTAGCCTCAAACAACATCCCAAGAACTCAACCCTGGAAAATGTACCCATATATAAGGTGCATTTTTGCCACCATACACCTTCAACCCAAGTGATCTGAATGCGTCCACAATTATTTTTGCATTTTCCTTGTAGTAGTCAACCACTGTGGTTATGGACTGAAAATGTGAAAAACACAACTTACAAATGGGTTTTTCTCCCCAACCACTGTGTTTATTCTTCTGTATTAATTTTTGACAAATGGGTTTTTCTCCCCAACGCCCATAATGGGCTTATAGCCTGTCCAAGCCCCAATTTTAAAAATTGAGATGTTCGGACTATCCATCCGTGAAGAACTCATAGAACCCAAAACCCTAGATCTGCGACTAACAGCAGCTTATCAGGTGAATCAGGTCTGTGAGACTCGCTAGAAATCCTAAAACCCAAACCCTTCCACTCTTCTCTCATGGCCGTCAATTTTGTTATCTGTTTTGTTAAATGTGAGGGCAAAATGGTATATTTGTATTATTTTTAATTTCCACCATGTGAATATTCCTTTCACCCAAAAAATAAAAACTGAAAAACTTTCTTCCTATCCTCGTCATCGCAAGGAGGGTGGGTATGGTGTGGGTTGGGGGAGCGCCATCAATTGTTGTCGAGATGGTGGCTCGATGTCGGGTGGAGGTTGTCTATAGCTATGTTGGAATATTCATATGGTGGAAATTAAAAATAATACAAAAAACCATTTTGTCCCTGAATTTAACATAAAAAGTTAACAAAAATGGCGGCAGGACCATTTGTCCTAACGAAACTAAAGTTGAAGAACCATAGGAATGATTTTGGAAATTGAGGAACCAAAATGCAAATCATATGAAAATTCATGAACCATTGAACCTAAAAACCTTATTTTCATAGTATTTCGCGAATGAACATTAATAAACGTGTTATTATCATGTCAACTCATCATGCAACCAACTAACCACTTAATTTTTCTGTTCGTGTTTGTAACATGAAATCATGTCAGTTGGTCAAAGTACAAATTTGGTACAATCTCAAAAAGTTTAACAAATATAAATTGTAACTTTTGTAAATAATTCAATCATCATCTGGAGAGTGCAAGAAACTATAAAAAGAAAGAAGGCCAGAAGGTTCAAGATGCCATGTTGAATGAGGACAAACACAATTTATACAAGTCACAAGCAATAATGGGCTGAGAAGAAACAAATCTTATGAACAATGCAATACAGTTCAATTAGATTTTTCCTTATCAGCACCAAATAATTGTCCAATCCTAATTCATCTCATGAACCAATAAAGTTCTCCAGGAAGATGGTCATTCTTGCTCCAAGTACCTGTCAACTGGGTTCAAATATTTATGAAATAATTTAAGTTAAAAAAGAGTTTTTAGCCTTTTTGAAGCTTCCAATATACTTTCTCTGTGGGCAAAAGCACCAACTCTGATGTACTCTTCACCTCCAGGACCAAATCCTTTTCCTGGTATGGTCACTATGTCTGTCTTTTCAAGAATTTCATTGAATACATCCCAAGAACTCAACCCTGGAAAATGTACCCATATATAAGGTGCATTTTTGCCACCATACACCTTCAACCCAAGTGATCTGAATGTGTCCACAATTATTTTTGCATTTTCCTTGTAGTAGTCAACCACTGTGGTTATGGCCTGAAAATGTAAAAAGCACAACTTACAAACAGGTAAAATTTGAAACTGCATTGGATTTTAACTTACTAGAGAATTAATGCATGCTTGGAAAAGAAATGGGGTGTAAATTATAACCTGGTAACCTTCTTCAGAAAGGCATGCCAGCCCTCCAGCCTGGGCAATATTTGATGCACCATTGAAGCAGGTGCACACTATGCGGCTATAGTCCTTTATGACAGGAAACCCATTTGCATACAACAACTCATCAGGGACAACCGTCCATCCGAGGCGGACCCCTGTGAACCCAGCAAATTTGGAGAAGGATGAAACTTCAATTGCAACCTGCACACAAAATTGGCCAAAACAACTTCCAGTGAGAATCCCTTCGTATGTCAAGTTTAACAAGAAGGTTTTGTATTGTTAAACACAAAATGATATATGGTGGTGAGGAGAACTAGTGAGAGGAGAACTAGTGAGAGGAGAACTAGTGAGAAACCTCTCTGGCCCCAGGAATTTCATAAATCGATCTCGGGCTGTCATCAGATATATAAGCAGCATAGGAGGAGTCATAAACAATTATTGATCCGTTTGCTTTTGCAAACTCCACCAGTTGCTTTAGTTGCTGCTGTGATGCAGCATTGCCAGTTGGATTGTTTGGAGAGCAGAAAAATATGATATCCGCCCTTGAAGCAGTTGATAGATCAGGAAAAAAATTATTCTCAGGCCTGCAGTTCAGGTACACAATGTTCTTATACTTCCCAGTTTCCTCTTGAAACCTGCCAGCTCGACCGCCAATGACAGTAGAATCCAAAATATATATGCCTGTCCCAAAACACAATAAATCAATAAGGTTCCTAGCAAAAAAATTCAATGGGAAAAATAATGGATGTGTGGCCTCCATGTAGCTTTAATTTAGTATTCCAAGACGTTAATAAAAATCAGCTATAACCTTGTTTCTGTAGGCACAAGAGCCAATCCATAGTTGCAATGGAAAAAGGAAAATTAATATTGAGAGTGAGATGACACTGATTATTTTCCTCATGTCTCATCCTAATTTAGAATTAAAGAAAGACATATTTGACTACCATGTGCATCATTCTCTCCATAGTAAGTATTCTATGAGTCCTTGTGGAATACTTGCTTCTTTGTCATGGTGATGTTAGTACATATGTGAGGTTTTTAGATCATAGTATCAATTCTGTCCAATACCATTTAACTTCAAGTTTGTTGTAAGTTTACTCGTTTCATGCTTTTTATTGCAGGAGGTTCTGTTAGTTGGGGTCCGTACTAACTTGCAGTATTGGGCGTTTTCACTATAGTCACTATGTGGGCAGTTGTGGTAACTGAAGGTTGCAGGAAGATAAAGCTGCAGCACTATGGTTTTAAGCTTGCTTTTGCTGCAAGGTAATACATTCGTAACCATTTTGATGGCTGATGATCGTTTGTAGTGAAAGAAACTGCACAATATTGCATGCGTTTTCTGTATGCATGTGGTGTTATTTGATTATATGAAGACGGTTGTTCTTTATCCTAATGTTAGATGTATAGCAGATACTGCTTATAAGTTATAACTGATCTTTGTATCAACTAACAGCCTAGTAGAAACAATTCACACCATCTTCCATAATTTGAGCTTTGAAAATATAAATGTTTGGATAATTCTGTTGGCTGACCACCACTTATCACCATCACTTATCTCTTGTCATTTCCGAGCATTCTCTTGCAAGGTCACAATTTCGTAACTTGTAGCATTTTCGCATTTTTAAAGATGAAAACTCATTGTCCGCTAATGAAACCAAAAGGTTGCTCATTTCTCTGCTGACCCAAAAAAATTTCCTTAAATATTCCAACTACACCTATTCTTTTCCTATATAAAGTTTACCATTACACTTTCTGATATTGTGGTTTGTTGGCCGTCTTCTTGGTTCGCCTTTCTGGGAGCATTTAAGGAGTTATTGAACCCTGGCAATTCCGTTGGTGCAGGGCCTTGGAGCATGTTAAGGAGATATTAAATAATTACAAATATTAAAAAATCCGCCCAGGTCGCCTGGCATCTAGGCGGGAGCCTAGACCTTTTTTTTTTAATTTTAATTTTTTTTTTTTTCTGGGTTGGAGCAGATGGCACACAGTTCATTGTCATTAACACATAAATCATCAAAAACCCAGCAAGATGCAACCCCACGAGAACGAATCCCGCTAAGAACTGTGTTGTAATCCAAGTAGGAGAAGCGGCTGATGAAGAGAGGAGTGACCAAAAAGAAGCCAAGAATGCCCAAAGAAGGCTTGAATTTCTTGAAAAACTGCAATTGGGTCTTTGTTTCTTCTGCGTCCTTTGGAGGTGAAGGTTTGCTATTATCCACTTCTTTGAGAAGTGAGGAGAAGTGGAGTTCAATTCTCCTGAGAAAGAAAGAGTAATGGCTCAAAGCCAATATTTTTCGAATTGGCGGTTTTCTTCTTAGCCTGCATCACAGTTATTTGCCTTTTTTTTCGTGTGTGTGTGAATTATACCAAGAAAAATGAGATCGTTCAATCATTCAAAACGTTGCAAGTTTTTAAACAGCTGATGTTTGTGACATGTGAGAGAGAGAAAGGAGAAAGACGCAGAAAGAGACATTTACCCGGGAACAAAACAATATAAAATCTCAAACATCCAAATGAAAAACAACAAAGCCTCAACCATCCATGAACCCCAACTCCTGATTCTGAAAAACCAATAGCTTCTCCACAGCTGGTGTTTCTTCCTCTGTTATAAATACTATCAGAAATGGGCTGTTTAGGGTGCTACCTTTTGATTTTGTTTTGTATCATTCTTACTTGCTTTCCGTATAAAATAATTATGCATAGTTAAATATGAGTTTCTTTGCAAATAGTAAATTAAATAGTAATCAATCAATGTGTGTGCAAAAGTCAATTTGATGATGCCATTCCAAATTCATGAGCATGTAAATCACTATTTAGAAATACATTACTATCTTGACCCATAAGCTCAAAAGTCTCACATAGGCTGTAGGCCTCAGTCACCTAGTCCTTCTTAGAACTGACTTGAGAGAGATTGTGAGAATAATTTTAGGCTTAATTATTGATATAGTCGTATAGATATGACCTTTAAAACTCCGTTTTATTTTCAATCTCATTTTGCCTTCTAACATTCAATATGTCTTTATTTAATCCTCCAAACTTGAATTTAGTGTCTTATTTTGCATTAACTCTTGTAAAATAATCTAATGAATATTCCGATGTGACATGAGCACAGTCCAAGATATATCAATAATTAAGCCCTAGATGTTACTTGTTTGAGAAACAAGAACAAAAAGTGGATGATCAAAATGAGATTTTCTCACTATATATGATAAGGCCTAGCCATTGGGTCCCATATCGGAGGCAGATAAGTGTGCATTACCACACTACCACACTATTGGAAGTCTTCATTTAACCAACTTTGGGCCATCAACAAAACAAAGTTAAATGTGTAATGAGCATGCTCAAGTGCAACAAAATTAATTATAATGATCTACAAAATCCATTAAACAAATAAAAAAACAATTGCTGTCATAATAATACAAACTGGGCCTGGAATTTGGACTGAAACCAATAGATCCAACCCATTAAAAAGTCTTAAACTAAAAGCATTACGTAGCCCAAACATATACTTTTTCAGAACAATTTTTTTTCCTGGAAAATGGAAAACAACAATTGGGCTTCATTAATATGCACAACCCATTTTACTGAAAGCAGCTACAAACATCATGAGCCTGAGCTCTATCAAATTTTCTGGTCCAAAGCCCTAACTTGTGCAGTTTCTTTTGTTTCAGCTGAACAAGCCCTTTGACTCTGAGCATTGCTCGGATGGACTTTCTTCATCACCCGAAACAAACAACCGTTAGGCTGACCAATTTCAGATTCAGCTCTGCCCAGCTTGGCTCGTTCTTCTTCTTGCTCCATCTTCAGCTTCTTCTTGTGGAGGCCTCTGAGCACATATGCTTCAGCAAAACCATAACCTACCGTCGACATGGCCTAAAATATATAGGTTTTTTTGGTGTTCAAGTGAAGGAAGAAATGGGGTTTTTTCTAATTTGATGTGGTTTGGGGCTTGAGAAGCATTTGGGTATTTATAAAGGTTTGGGTTGGCTTGGGGAGCAAGCAGACACGCTCTGCTTATGGCGGAAGGAAGCTAACGCGAAGTGACGAATATTGACCCTTTAGGTTTCTTTTTCGGTTGATCGTTGAATTTTATCTGTTTGTTTGGTGAGGCCTTTGGAATTTGAGGAGGCAAAGAAGTAATTGGATTCTGGGCGGTAGAGATATGACGTAGATGCGTGCGTGGTCAACTCCTTGGTAATTCCTGACAGTTGGATCGTGTGCCTAGTATAGCCGCGCGGCTATACTATTTATTAATAAAAAAAGAATATGCCTGCGCCCATTTCGCCTCGTGTCAAAAATAGTATAGCCAGGCGGCGATACTGTTTTTAGTACGACTCCCCGGTATAGCCGCTCGGCTATACCATAATTAAAAAAGAACAACCCGCTGGCCCCTAGCGACCGTTTCGCCACATGTCAAAAATAGTGTAGCCGCGCGGATATACTAATTTTTCATAATAAAAACCGTAGTCTAGCCGGTCGGCTATACTATTTTTATTATAAGCCGCACGGCTATACTTGTTTTTACAAAAGCAGCCTGGGGACTGCACTCGCTTCGCCACGTGTCGAAAAAGCTATAGCCGACCGGCTATACTGTTTTTTAAACGTAGTATAGCCGGTGGGCTATACGCTTTTTTAAATAACAGAGTATAGCCGCTCGGCTAGACGTATTATGAAAAATAAGACAACCCAGCTAAAAACAGTATGGCCGCGCGGCTACCCTTTTAAATAATAATAATAATAATAATAATAATAATAATAATAATAAGAAACCTTTTATTTTCCGGTAAACAAACTCATATTTAACTATGTAATTATTTTATACGGAAAGCAAGAATGATACAAAACAAAATCAAAAGGTGTCGCCCTAAACAGCCCATTTCTGATAGTATTGTTTAAGGTCAACAATTATATGGAACATCATCATATACCTTCCTTGATTCTTCATCACATAACAGAGCAAGCATTTATGTCGAACCTCTGGATACAGGGACTATTGAAACAAATTACTTAGAATCATGCAAAAATCAAATCTTAACACTCAAACCCAGGGCTAATTTGTATAACAGAAAATAGAAAGCAACCAAATGATGAAGAAGAAGATTATAAGATGCACATCAGAAAACTTAAAACAAAAACAGAAACAAAACAAAACAAAAGAAAGAATCAAGAATAAGATTGCAAAACTTCAATTCAGCTTAAAGAATGCTTTAATTAATAAACTGGGCGTGTATAGAACGACCTCAATTCGCAGTCCTCCATATATCGCCATAATAAGAAAAGATGGAAAAAACAGTTAACAAAAAGAATAATTAAAAAATAATCCAACTTTGCTGAGTATATCAAATACAAATAATCCAACTTTAACAAATAAAAGGTTAGTACTTGAATCCAAGTTATCTACTAGCTGCTAGTTCCTCCACCATGGGCATGCTGCGGTAATCTAGGAACTGGAGTCGGCCACCATGGGAGCTCAACTGGCCAATAGTCACCATTACCAACTGGACACTGCCTATCCTAGACCACTTTTTTGTATGAATGTTGCACTTGATAATATCTCCGTCCACACGCAGGTACAAAATATCCTCATTATATGGGTCAAAAGGCTGCATTTCGCACGTAAATGGACCATCCAGATACATTTTTGGGTCCAAGTGATATACCCTGTGGTTAGTTAAACACAATCTGCCAGCAGCTCCATCAACCATCCGATCATGATCTTGTTCTTTCAACTCCCAAACATACAGAGTATTGGTAGCCGCCTTAAAGTCACACATTCGCACACATCCTCCGAACATACCTAGGTACTCAACTACAAAACGTCCATTTAGAGGCTCCTCAAATACAGTAAAATGAAGTTTATGATCAATAATGCCATCACCATTACCACTACTACTACTTGTCGTGTTATTGTCGTTGAAGAGACCCAAACCAACAAAAAGGAGTTCTTCATCACTTGTCCAATATAACATCCCATTGTATGCGAAGGAGATATCTTCAAGGTCATCAAAATCAAAGAATCGTGGGGAAGCCACAACTGATTCTCTTCATTCACCAGTCTCAGAAGAGAAGATCTCCACGCTTAATTTTAAGGAATCACATTCGTCATCATTTGCATATTCATCAGGAGGCAGAATTCTCACAATGTTGCACATACACTCAGTATTAAGCTGGACGTTATGCCCTTTCCAATCTTCTTTCTTAGAATTATAGTAGGGAATATCACAGATGAATCCCACTAGTACCCTATCGTGGCATCGACCTGGGGTGGGAGGAACAGCAACCCATTGCATGGTGTATGCATTGCAGATGTAATTGCGTTGATAATCCTCAGTTGCGCAGCACAAAACTAAGTCATTATACGTTGCTACCACAACTGGCTCTTTTCTCAAAGAGTGGAATCTCATTATTCGTTTGAACACTGGGGTTAGTAGCTTGGATGACCATGGCATTTTAGGAGGGAATTCCTCTCCTTTTTGACTTATTAGAGTGCATATCTTTGGAGTTTTCCTATAACCTTGGATATGTACAAAGCGGCCGATAAAATAAGGATCTGAGATGAGTGTGCGCCAACGCTTGCACACACACTGGCATTGAAACACAAATTTACTTGATGGAAGTCGGCAAAGGATTTCAACCAATGCCGTGTCAGGGAGATCATCAATTGATGATGGTCTTCTTTCTGCTGGTGATGATCTCTTCGATCTTTTTAACTGACTAGAGGTTGGCAATCCAAGAGATGACTGGGATCTTTTCCTTCCTTTGGTAGGAGTATCGCAATTAATCAACCTGAGCCATGCAATATATATTATACACATAATGTATGCCCTCTAAAAATATGCTGTGTGGAATTGACAAATTAAGGAAAAAAAAAATCAAACGGTCAAACTTGTTTAACCTTGTTTCTAGATATGGCGATGATGTTAGCTCATCAAGAACCAAGTACCAAGGGATATAGGAAGGTATAATGATTAACATGGTTTTCTTTCTTGATGCATCCCTGTTCACTAAAGTGATATACTATTTTCTCATCCTCTTCTGTTTTCGAAAAGTTTTAGCTGTTTTTTCAACAAAAATAAAGCTTCACCAAAAATACAACTGTGTTCAACAACTAGCTTCCGACAAAAAAACCTATATCTAAATGTTGGAAACCTGGGTCTGAAGAATTTTATAAATAAATGAGGCATCGATCAATATGAATGTTCGTAAAAATAATTATCCCCAGAAGCCATAGAAAACTGATAATTCTAATATGTTTTCAATTCTAGAAATATAAATTGTGTAATTAGAAAGAAACCTGCATTGAATGTCCTCCTCGAATTGCTTTTGCTTAAGAAATCCAGATACAAGCTTCATGGAAGCCCCGCCGCATTCAATTTCCTGCTCAGAGCTCATAAGAGTATTGGAGGACAATGTTCTGTTCTTGTTGCTGAACTCTGACATCTTTGCAGATCCAGCAACACGTTTAGCATCACGAGATGTCTGAATTCCTGCAAGATTTCATATATCATCATAAAACAAGAGTCTAATTACCTTGGCCATCAAAATATCAATGTTTATGCGTACATACCATGGCCATAACAATTAAAGCATTATCAATCTAAGGAAAAAGCTCTTACTTTACTTTGTACATATGATTTTCAAGAGCAGCAGCAACTCATGTGATTATCAATAGCAGCAAAAAACATATTAGTTCCAAAGACTGTTGCTTTCTGACCATAACTAGCTAATTTCCAATAAGACCCATTAACACATGATCATTCTATCATGTTAACCACCAACTCTAATCACCAGTAACAAAATTACATAACGGTCATGAAACTAGATTCGAAAAAGGGATCTAAATGCCACAAATTGGAGAAATTAAAAAGTTCCTTACCATTGTCGGCAATTCTGTTCCGATTGAAGCTTGTGCAATCATTAAGGGTCGGTTTCAAGCATTGGCCGGCCGCCGGCTCAGGAGGAGTTGACTGCGTGGCCCAGAATTCATTGAGGAGGGGGTTTTCCGGTTCACCCATAAGAAAAGAAATAAAGAAAAAATACTGAGGGAAATAATATTGAGTTTGAAAGAAAAAAAAAACATTCTGGAGTTTCTCGCGGCTGGAAGGGGCTTTTATAGTGGAGGAGGTGCTGTTGGCTCCTTTTGTTTTGTGTTCCTTTTGGGAAACTGCTATTTTGCTTCTAGGATCGTTTCCCAAAATTGTAGCAGCTCAAAAGGCCCTTTTCCTTTGTGTTTCTCTAGGCTGGCGCATGCATTTGCCTTTCTGTTCAAACTGAACCATATATTTTGTTGTGTTCTACTAGTTCTGCATTTGGCTGTCTACTAGTTCTGCATTAGTTTTAAAATAATTTTTATAAAGTTTGTGTCCTTAATTTTCCCAAAAAATAATTTGGGGGCTCAATTCTCTCTATACTCTAGCATAAAAAATAAAAACTAAAATTGAAATGGTTATCATACAGGCCCTTAGAAAACAAGGTAGGAACTAATTGCATGAATTATCTAATGCTCCAAAATTACAGGATTTGAAGACCGAATTAACGATTTCCTCTTCCATCTCTTTCGTTTGTATGCCCTAATGGGTTCGACAAAGATGTCCTCATCGTACTTTTATTTGCATGTAATTTGTTTATTTTAATTTTAATATTGCTTTTTGTTTGTTTTATCTCAGGTAGCAGCAGCCTGGACGACATATGCATAGTATAGTGAAGGCAACTTCCAATTGAACATAATAGCCGAGTTGTCCTTTTAATTGTTTGCATACTGAATGCTTTTACTAAGTAGGATATGGATATACAAATTTATAAATAAACCCAATCCTAGACATGTATTTATAAAAAAACTCAAGCACTATTTAAACATAGAAACACACCCAAAATCAACCCCAAAGTCAACTTTTTGGGTGTGTTTATAAATGGGTTTTGAGTGTGTGTAATGATGGGTTTTGGGTGTGTTTATAAAGTGTTTTGGGTGTTGGGTTTTTTTATAATTTCAACCTCCATTTTGGGTGTTTTAGTGAAACTCCCTATTTTGTATCTGCGTTGGACGACATATGCATATTGAATTCTGTTACTAACAGGCCCTAAGTTTTCCTGATTTCAGTAGGATTTCTAGTTTCCTAATTTATTTGGATTAGGATTTCTTGTTAAATAACTCGCCTTCTAGATCTTGTTCTTTTGATGTAACCGACGGCAATAGACTAAACTAGCAAATATTAGAACACTTAGAAACACACAAGAATTATACTGGTTCGGCAGAACTTTTGCCTACGTCCAGTTGTGATTTCTCTAGGTAGAGAAATCACCGCTCCTTTGATTAATAATAGAGATTACAGAACTTTTGCAACCCTAGAACTAATCTCAAAACTCTTGGCTGTCTCTGGCTGTTTTTCCTCTCTTTAAAATAAGCCTTGCCACACCCTATTTATAGATATAGAGTTGGCTTACATGTCCCAAGGCTGATTGGATTCCTATTCCTAAGTAGATTAGGAAATTACACTTATCCAAATCCTAATAGACTTCTAGAAATCCAAACCTGAATTGAATAAGGAAAACTGAAATTCTTTCCTAATCCCTCTAGGACAAGAATTGGTATACCTCTAATTTTCCTAAAACAATCCTAAACCAACGAGGACATATTTGACGAGCCAAAATCCTAACAATCTCCACCTTGGTGAGTCAAACCAAGTCTTGATCGTTGCACCCCAGAGTATCTTTGAACCTCCTTGAAGCAGCTCTGGAAATCTTCAAGAGTCTTCACCTTGGCAATCTTCTTCTTGCCTCATTGCACCTCAAGTGAGGAGGTGCTCCACTTTAATCAATCAACGAGATTGATCAAGTTCAAGCAATGCTTGAACTTCTTGGCCGGCACTATCTTTGTAAGGAAATCTGCAGCATTGTCATCTGTATGAATCTTTTCAATCCAAATCTCCTTAGACTCCACCCAATTTCTGATTCTGTGATATCTTGCTTCAATGTGCTTTGATCTTCCAGAAAAAACTTGATTCTTTGCCAAGTGAATGGCACTTTGACTATCACACTTCAGCTTCACAAAATCTTGGGTGATCCCCATTTGACTTACCAAGCCATTAAGCCAAATTGCTTCCTTTCCAGCTTCGGCCAATGCAATATACTCTGCCTCTGTGGTCGACAAAGCTGTAATTGGTTGCAGTAGTGC